AGAAAGACAAAACAAAGGCCAGCAGGACAGACTTGCCCTTCTGGTTCTTAAAATGTGTTATAAAACTATAACAATGGCAGTATTATGGTACAGAAATAAGCGATCAGATTAATGGAAAAGTTAGTCCAGAAATTAAATGTATATTAAGTTTCCATTTGTTTGAAATTTAGGATCATTTCATATCAATGCAGACAGCTCAATAAATAATTTGTGGACAACTGGCACTTAGAAATCAATGAAGTTTTAACTATATGTCAGCAAGATAAATCCTAGAGATATCTAAGACTAAAATATACAAAAATAAAAGAAACATTAAGAAGTGCTAGAGACAATATAAGTCAACATTTTTATACTCTTGGGATGGGGATGGACTTTCTAAGTATGATGGAAAACTCAGGAAGTGGACATGGAAAGACTGACGGACATGACCACAAATGCTTTCATACAGCAAAAGTACAATCATGAATAAGGTTGAAAATAAATGAAAATCTGAGGAAACTATTTGCTACATATGGAACCAACAGAAGGTTAATACAAAGAACTCCTTCAAATTATTAAAATAAAAATTAACACTCCAATAGAAAAATAGGCAAAGGACACAGACAACTCACAAAAGGCAGGGGGTGTGTTAGAGAAGGCAAGAAAAAAAAAAGAAGAAAGAAAAGGAAGGAAGGAAGGGAGGGAGGGAGGAAAGAGAGAGGAGAGAAATAAATGATCAATTATTACAAGAAAAGATTCTAAACTTCACTGGTAACCTTCCAAAAAGTAAATTGAGATATCATTTGACACTTATCAGATTGATAAATGTGAATAACCCTGATAATACTCCATGTTGGCAAGGGGGTAGAGCAAATTCCCATTTACTGTTGGTAGAAGTAGAAATTGGTTAAATTTTCTGGAGGACAATCTGAAAATCACTTACAAGCTTTATACGTGCACACACTTCCTAATCTAGCTATATCACTCCTAAGGATTTATCCTAAGAAGATAATCTGGGAAGAACACAAAGATAGATGGCCAAGGATATTCTTCAAACATTGTTTATGATAGTAAAACACTGAAAGCAATCAAAATGCCCCTCTCAAAGCAGCCTTCGTTTAGTAAATTATTTCACATTCATAAAATGGAATACTCTGTAATTTGTGTGTATATACATACATACCTATATACATGCATTTATAAAGATTGCAAAATAGCATTTATGGTATGATTCTATTCATATCTCTTTTACATATACAGATAGAGATAAATCTGCATGCGTTTAGGCATAGAAAGAAGTCTGAGAAAGATAATCATCAGAAAGGCTGATGGTAGTTGCTCTGGGCAGAAAAATATGGAAAGATGATTTTGCTTTCTTCTTTGTGCCATTTTGCATTATTTGAATTTTTAAACCATAGGCAGAAAAATAGTATAAAGGGAAAATAAACAATGAGTGAATAACTCTCACTCTCTGGAAGTTTCTATTGGAAATTTGTGCTTCTTTAGATGGCCTTTCATTTTCTTGTTTTCTAATGGTTTTGGCTCCTAAGCCACAGAACTTCACTGGCCACTGCTTTAACATCTCAAATAAATTGTAACAAAAAGGCAAAAGACTTTAATAATACAGAGAAAGTTGTTTCAGAGCTAAGAATGTCCATAAACAGATGGTGGACAGGGGTGCTTTGCTGGGCTCCTGAGAGAACCAGGTCACTGCGTTTACTGGCCTTGATACCACCTCCCTGCAGGCACTTCCACCCAGTTGGCAGCTGGGTTACTGCCCTTCCCCCAAAGATTTCCACTCATCTCCAAAGACCTTCAAAAGACCTCAAGTGCTGTCCAAGGACATCCTAGCCATGGGCACATAATTTGATACAACCAACTATATAAATCATTTGAGAACTGTCAAAATCCCGAGGTATATATGATACCTCTGAATTTCTCTGCTTTCAGTTGTGGACTTGAGTAAATACAGACTGCCTCAGTTCACTTCGGAATTGGAAGCCATCTTAGAGCAAAGAGCTTTAGTAAACATTAAAAGATTCTGTCCTTAGAACAACCTAACATTCAAGTCTCTAAATCTCCAAGTTATAACCTTTAAGTGGTTGTCAAATCCTGACAACGTATTAAATCAAGTGATTTGCTGCTGGTTTTCAAAGTCTCCCTCTTCTTATCAAAAAAAGGCTTGGCTAGAAATATTATAGCTGAAGCCAAGAGAAACTAAGATCTGGTCTATGAATTTGGGGATGACAGTTTACCTGCTTGCCTTGCAGATCTAATACACATAAATCAAGATCCTGACTAATGGTACTTCATCAAGGTAAAGAACAAGGAGTTACCAAATTCAAAGCACACACCAGTCCCATGGGGCCATTGAGTCACCTAATTCAATCCTGAGGCATGTGTTCATGTATCCATGCATTCATTCACTGTTTCATTTATTAATACATCCAAGAAATATCTGTTGAATATGAAGTGAGTGTCAAGTATTGTGCATAGGCACTTGGATTACAGACAAGAATAAATAAAATACATCTCCCTAAGATATGCACTATGGAGAAGCAGACAAGTAAGGAGGCAATAATAATATGTGAGGTAGATGGTATAACAAAGGTTTCCTATGAAATGCTATGAGAACATCAAGGAGAAAAGAAATCATTTCTTTTAACAGGGTTGGAAAGAGTGGAGGCAGGAGAAGCACAAAAAGGTGACATCAGAGCTAGGATTTTCCAGGCAGAGCAAGCTAAACGCACAGCGCTGGCGATAGAGCAGGTACGTTCAGGGATGTTTGGCAGTGCATGGAGAAGGGATGGGCCAGCCAGACCGGAAGCAGGACCAATGGCTTTCCGTTGTTTCTAAAAGCATTGAGACGAGGTACGTACAAGGCTCTCTAGCCTCCTAATGGACTCGGGATTATTTCCTTCTATTAACTGCATGGGATGGGTTTCTGACCTTGGTGTCAGTCATGCTCTCTCTCACTGTCATTTTAAAAGTACAACCAGAAGAAAACCCTCAGAATAGAAGAAAATATTTGCAAATGAAGGGATTAATCTCCAAAATATACAAACAGCTCATGCAGCTCAATATCAAAAGAAACAAACAACCCAATGAAAAAACAGGTGGAAGGCCTAAATAGACATTTCTCCAAAGAAGACATACAGATGACCAACAAACACATGAAAATGCTCAACATCACTAATTGTTAGAGAAATGCAAATCAAAACTACAACGAGGTATCACCTCACACTAGTCAGAATGGCCATCATCAAAAAATCTACAAACAATAAATGTTAGAGAGGATGTGGAGAAAAGGGAACCCTCCTACACTGTTGGTGGGAATGTAAATTGGTACAGCCACTATGGACAACAGTATGGAAGTTCCTCAAAAAACTAAAAATAGAATTACCATATGACCCAGCAATCCCACTACTGGGCATATATCTGGAGAAAACTATAATTCAAAAAGATACATGACCACAATATTCATTGCAGCACTATTTACAACAGCCAGGACATGGAAGCAACCTAAATGTCCATCAACAGAGGAATGGATAAAGAAGATGTGGTACATATATAGAATAAAATATTACTCAGCCATAAAAAAGAACAAAATAGTGCCATTTGCAGAGACGTGGATAGACATAGGGACTGTCATACAGAGTGAAGTAAGTCAGAAAGAGAAAAAAAAATATCGTATAATATTGCTTATATGTGGAACCTAGAAAAATGGTACAGATAAACCTATTTTCAGGGCAGGAATAGAAAGGCAGACGTAGAGGACGGACGTGTGGACACGGGGGGAAGGGGAGGGTGGGATGAATTGGGAGATTGGGATGGACAAATATACACTACTATATATAAAATAGATAACTAATGAGAATCTATGGTACAGCACAGGGAACTCTAATCAATGCTCTTGTGGTCACCTAAACGGGAAGGAAATCTAAAAACGAGGGGATATATGTATACATATAACTGATTCACTTTGTTGTACAGCAGAAACTGACACAACATTGTAAAGCAACTGTACTCCAATAAAAATTAATTAAAAAAAAAAAGTACAACCAGAATCTTATTTTCTCTTGTTCTGGGGGCACCATGTTGCATTCACCATAAGCCAGAGTCTCTAGCACCATTCTTTTTTTTTTTTTCCTTCGGTACGCGAGCCTCTCACTGTTGTGGCCTCTCCCGTTGCGGAGCACAGGCTCCGGACGCGCAGGCTCAGCGGCCATGGCTCACGGGCCCAGCGCTCCGCGGCATGTGGGATCTTCCCGGACCGGGGCACGAACCCGTGTCCCCTGCATCAGCAGACGGACTCTCAACCACTGCGCCACCAGGAAAGCCCTCTAGCATCATTCTTTTGCCAGCAGCCTCGTACGTACCCTAATACCCACGGCTCCCCAGGCTGCTTAGTTCTGTATGTGAGGTAGTTTCAAGCAATTAGGATGTGCCTTGGCATCTATCTAAAATTCAACCACTCTCCAAGGTGACCTAAGCCCTCCTGCTTCAGGGACCTTCCCTTCTCCACACACTGATCTCTCCCTTCTCTCAACTCCTTCACCACCTATTGCCTGTGCCGCCAGTTTCAGCAGGCACTGATTAAATGATGGTTTATACAGTTCTCATTGCAAGCACGTAAGTGATTTCTGTCCATCCCTGGAGGCCCAGGGCCATGTTTCTTTCATTTGTCACTATGCTCTTCACGGCACCTGGTGCAATGTTGCCCCCACAGAGTGCACCTGGCACCTGTGGCAATACCATTCGCCTTGGAGTCCGCCATCTCACCGAGGCTCCCGGCCCACAGCTGGTGTCAGAGCTGTGCATTCATGTTTTCATTTTGGCTAGAAATATATGAACATAATAGAATACTTTGCTGGTCAATGAAAGCTTCATACCATAAGAAGAGGGACAGCAATATAATCTGTTGAATGGAGAAAAAGAATTCCCTTAATATATATTTTTCCCCAACTCTGTCACAAAAATTGGGCCAACAGAAGCCCAAACCAGCACTCATGTGTACTCACCCCTGGCACTCACTTTCTGCTCTCTGCTACTATTTTCCACTGGGAATAAAACCAAGACTCCTTAGAGGTAGCTGAGGACAGAGAAAGGCCAGAATTAGCTGGGAACATCTTATTATTACCAGACAAGGATGACTTTAAGACTATCACGGGTGGTGCTAAGAGGACAAAGAAGCAAGTTGTAACAATTTATGAATCAACCATAATAATAACAATGGTAATATAGTGAATTGAAATAATTGTTTGTGAAAGGCTATGAGTTCTTTATGATACTCAGAAGACTAAGCTAAGGTGCCCCAAACTCTTATTTGTAATTGTTTTAATACAACAGAAGGGAGAATAGAATAAAATATAATTTATTTATCCACTGATTGCATACTGATATGCCCTTGTCTTTCCACGTCTAAATACACATGGGTGAGTACACAGAAATTATAAATAGGCTAGCTTATTCTGGAAAAATAGCAACTGACCCAGGAATGAAAAGGACTAGTTAGCCCCAGTTGTGCCGCATAATAACCAGGTAGAAAGTGGGTTCAAGAGAACGTTGAAGGCGATGAATCTGTTCAGTGTCTTTAGAGGGGTTCTAATGTGCAGACTTACCCCCTCAGTCCCCAGAGATGAAGCTTCTAGATGTGCATAGTAAGTGTGTGGAGACTTCAAGGTGCAGGCGCCTCCTTCTGCACAGAGCTCCCAGCTCTGCTGCTGGGTAGGCGCAAAGGCTTCCCGCCTCCTTGTAACTGGCCATCGGCTGAGAGGGTAGATTCTAAAGCCTGTCACATCCATTCCACCCCTGGCTGAACTCATAAGAGCCCCTCCCTCACTGATTCTGCAACCTTCCCTGCATCAAGTAAGGGTGCAGCAGCCAGGGTGATAGAGAGCAAAAATTCATGTATTTAAGGGGAAGGAGAAAAGATACATGAAGGAAGAGTCTCGAAGTGGGGAAACACCCATTCCAATCTGCAGGGTTTGGAAAAACGTTAGAACATTTGAAAGCATGAGAGACAGGCACACCACAGAGGTATGAATTATTTACTGCCTGGGCAGCTGCTTGGCGGTACCCTCAATCAGCTATTTTCTGGGTCCTGCCAGTACCCTCAGCTGGCACAGGAAGAAGAGAAAGCTGCTTCTAACTCCAGCACTGCCATCTGGCCTAGAGCTGCTCCTCAGAAGGTAAACTTCAGAGGACAAGGGAAAGCAGAGGCCAGACCCCAGAGGGACTGGTTGCCACCTCCTTGTTTCAAATGTTCACCCCTTTTTTAAAAATCCAGTCCCCCACACTGACAGGCCTCCCCCCTCAGGTGATGTCCTTAGAGAAGACAGCCCTTGGGAGATTCCATGGGCCAGTCCTGGCCGGCCTCCCTCTGCTCCGCCCCTTATACTGCACAGCAGTTCTCTACACCAGGGGCCTGGTCCCCAAAGCTGTTTTCCAAGCTTTCCATGACAGCTGGCTGCTGGCTGAGTTTGCTCAATGGGAAGTGCAGGTCTGAGTTTGAAGGTGGCTGTAGGCGTGGGTGAAGCCCAGGCTCTGTCACCCACTGCCTCTGCTTTGCTGGGTCTCCGCCAGGAGCTGCCTCTCCTCTGAGGCTCTAGCTCCCACTGGGCAGGCCCACATGGTCCCACGCTCTGCTGGGTGGCCTGGCCCTGCCTCCTGCCACACCACCTCGTCCCTCTGCCCCTCTAGCCTACAGTGGCTCACCTCCAGGGCCCGTGGCTAATGGTCCAGCCTCCTGTGTTGGCTCTTCCATCACTGTGCCACCATTTCCCTGCATTACATGCCCAGCGCCTTAAATACTAAAGAGGTTTCCTAGTTAGACCCCGACAAACTGACATGGAAAGGCAGGTCAGTTCATGACCGGGCAGAACTTTGTAAGAAAGCCTCCTTTGGGAATTTCCCATCTTTCCTGCTACCTCCAAGAATGGAGTCTGTCTCTCTGTGGCCACACCTGGAGCTCTGCATACATGCAAACCCATGGGTTGTGAGCAGGAACCTGGAGGAGGGAGGAGATAGAATGCTTTCTGCCATTGCTGTGGTCAGCAGAATCGTGGCTAAGAAAAATAAGAGCAGATGACTTTCAAGATAAATGTTTAAGTTTACATAGTAGCATGGATAGCATGCTATCATATGGTAGGTGAGGAAGAGACACATACGAATATATACACTCACACATATATACACTTATATATGCATAAAATGCCTCAGGAAGGGTTTAAAAATGGCAGCAGTCATCTCTTGGAGGTTGGCGGTGGGAGGATGGGGATTTTTCTCTGCATACTGTTTTCTACCTTTTGTATTTTGTGTCTATTCAAAAATAAAAATAACAAACAAATAAATGAGCTCATCCACAATCTCTTACTCCAGAGAAGAATGAATGAGTGGCTCTACCATCTGCAGCCATTGATGAGCCAGGGCCATCTGCACTAGCATGTACGGGGTAGGATGGGCCAGGTGCCCTGGACCCTGCAAGCACCGCAAATCACAAGCCAATATGTGGGTGCTATGCTCATTGGGAGCCATGGTTGTGTGCATTTGTACTGACCAGGACAACTAATAACCCCAATGACCTGACTGACTGGACCAGCAATTGTTTCAACGGGCATTCATAGGCCATAAGGCATAGTATTAGGTGCTAGTGGAAATGACCCCAGATTTAGGGCGCTAGCCTCTAGTCCCGGCTCTGCTCCTAACAGGTAGAGACATAAAGACCACTCAAACTCTCCCAGCCCCCACCCTCTAATCTGTGCAGGTTTTGATCTCTAAACTCCCTGAAGAACAAAGCTGACAGATACCTCCAGTAAGAAGACAACAAGCCCTTGTTCAATCCAGACAGTTTCTCACTTTACATTGAAGCACCAGCGAGAAGAGCACCAGCGCCCCCGTGTCCCTTGTCCCATAGGACAACACAGAAATAAAAAGGGCCAGATGACTGCACCCTGTTGCTGAGGAGCCCTCACGCTGCAGGAAGCAGATTTAGAGGCTGCAGCTGCACCCCCAGGGAGAGCCAGGCGAAGGCCTCGCCCAGGAGGCAATGGGAGACTGCCCCATGACGGCCCCTGGGCAGATAGGGAGGTGAGTGGCAAGCGGCCTGCTAGCAGCTCCTCACAGGCCTCCTACACGCTTGTGGTCTGGGAGCATCACAGGGGCTCTGCCAAGACTCACATCAGCTTGGTTGAGCCTTGCCTGGTGGCCTACATGGAGACGTGCCAAGTCCCCAGGGTGCCATGGCTGAGCCGGTCCCCATACTCCCCTCCAGCCTTCAAGAAGCTAAGCACCGAGGAGGGGAGAAGAGATATTTGTACACGATATGGCAGGAGGACGGTTCTGAGGCAACTTGTGCCCTTAGGATGAGGACCAAAGGGTCCAGGATGCTCAGAGAGAAGAGGTCCGTGGGGCTGAGATTCTTGGGGCTGCAGAACAACCAAGGGGAAGTCAAAGCATGGGGCCTGCTAACCTCTCTCCACCTCACCCTCCGCAGGTCCTTGCAGCCTGGCACTCCCCGAGGGGCCCACCCTCCCCTTTGTTACTGAACCGAGAGGACATCCAAACTGAAGGGGGTCCCCTGATGCAGCCCTGGAATTTTGCCCTATTACCTACTCGTAGCTCATTTCAGGCGGCTTTCCTGGGCTTGAACACAGTGGTGAAACTGATCCGCTTCCAGTCTGACTGAAGGGTAGCAGGAGAACTCAAGGTGAGTGAGTTGAATCACAAGCCCCTTCAGAAGCCCCTAAGGTGGTGCCCTGACTCACAGCTTCCTCCAAGGTCGGAGTCAGAGAAGTGCCATCACTTGATCTTTGCCCAGCTTTTCAAGAGAGAGATCTATCCTTTCTCCAAGAGCCATCAGCTTCTCCCTGAAATGTGAGGCCTTTCCCCTTGGCTAGATAGAAAGGAAGCATTTCCTCAGGAAGGTGGCTTTCTAGAGACTCCTCCCGCACAGCTCTGTCTGGATAGGATTCTGTTCTACATCCCCCCAGTGTCTGTGACTGACAGTTTCTATCACAACACCACAAACATGTCATTCCATTTAGTTGTATCCTTGTCTGTATCTCCTAATATATCTGAACTCCTTGAAGGAGGCACTGTATCTTGATCAACATATCCCATCTAATTTAGCATCTAGTACAACTTAGGGACTTAACAAATATTTACTGAATAAACAGTGAGTGAAGGATCACAACCCAGCCCCTCTTCCAGAACTCCCTCCCCTCCCCAGCACTGAGGCAGCAGGATCCAGCCCAGGGCACTTGCCACCAGCAAGCTCAGAGCTCTACCCCACAATAGCCACTTTCCTACAACAAGGCCACCCCAGCAAGACACGGTGCCCGACATGATCCCAGGATGGGCCTTCACCTACTTCATCTCTATTCACTTTCATGATTCTCTAAGATAAGTAGTACTGTCCTTGGATTTACAGATGCAGAGCTATGGCCCAGAGAGGTTGCATGAGATCACCCATTAGTGGGCAGAACTCAGATTCCACCCCAGGGTCCTCTGCACAAATCCCTACTGCTGCCTCCCAGGGTCAGCCCTGGGTGGCATGACAGGAGCTGGCAATGGAGCTGGTCAGGGGGACAGGAGGGAAGCCCAACCCTTCAAGACACATCTCCACATCTCTATAGGATGTAAAGAGGTGACACTGACACTAAGGGAAAGCTTAGGGGGCATCAGGTAACCCGATCAACTCACTGAGCATGTGGTGACTGGACAGATTCAGGAGCACAGTTATTTGGCCAGTGCCTGTGACATACAGACTGATCCAAAGATTTCTGAAAGATTATTAGAGAGCAGCTGCAGGCAACAGTAAGGCAGCGTGTGCTGGAAGACACTGTCTCTGCTGGGAGGTGGAGCCAGTGACCTTCTGTCACTTGGTCTCTGAACTCAGTCCACAGTGTAGGGAAAGGCACTTTTTAGGGCAACTACAACTATTGCTTTTTTTGAAAACCACAATTTCCTGTTTTGTTCTCTATTTATACTTTACATTTAGTTTTGAGAAAGCACTGGTGGTTTGGTGTTTTGGCTGTTTCTAGTTCAGTCTTTATCAACAAAGCAAACTTTCTTTTCAAGACGATGTTTTGT